CCATCTCGTCCCCCAAAAGTCACAAAACTGACACTTTTGTTTGAGTCCAAAGTCACAGTTCCCACTTTTCTACAGTGAAGTGTTTAGGAGATGCAGTTAATGCTACTGGTTGTGTTGGCCCTGCGCAGCATTTCTGAGGTCAGGACATGAATACAGTAATGAATATAGCATTTACAGTTTTTTAAAGCCATGGTGATGTCATACATTTTTCATGAAGGGGTAAAAGAAGAAAGCGAAGAAAAAGAAACTATATAACTTTTCAGAGCTCCACAACTCAAAACTACAAAAATATAATTTTCCAAAACTCTTCAAAAGACATCTTCTACCATATTTACGCATGTACAGGCCCCAGCCAGTTTCTAAGACAAAAATTTGAGGAAAAAATAATTTGTAGTACCTGTAAGCTGTGAAAGATGGGCAGCATAAAAGCAAGTTACAGGTGTAAATTTAAGCAAGTGCAAGTGAGCTAGGTGCCAGTTATGATCGGGCTAGGTGCTTTATGGCACAAAATGGCCTCGTAATTCGGCTGCGGACAAACATGGCGCAGCGACATCCCGACACCTACCAAGAGAAACTGGTTTCAAAGACATATTCAGAAGTTACAGAAGACAGGCAACTACAGCACTGTGACAACTGGAAATTCAGAAGTCACAGAAGACAGGCAACTACAGCCCAGGGACAACTGGAAATTCAGAAGTCACAGAAGACAGGCAACTACAGCCCAGGGACAACTGGAAATTCAGAAGTCTCAGAAGACAGGCAACTACAGCCCAGGGACAACTGGAAATTCAGATGAAACTCCCGCTTATCAAACAATTGTGTACAGGTGACATGTAAGCCTAATATCGTGAATATAAGCAGCTCCTGAATGTTCATCAATCATTTTCAGCCAAAATACTGTGGTGTATACATTGTAGATACGGTATGTCTTTGTCCTTTTCTTACATCAGATGTGACACTGAATATCTTCTTTGCGTTCACCAGCTGTAAATTCTGGCCGAAAGGTCTGGTTGTTCGTCCACCTCTGGACTTTTGTTTTGTTCCAGTATTTGGGTATAGTATGTACATCCGTTTTACAGATCTGGCTTACGCCGCAGACTGTTGGCTTCTTACCTCTCAGGCAGATGCACTGCTACTTCAAACAAGTCCCTTCTTCTTCTTCGCGTTCACCAGCTGTACACTCTGGCAGAAAGTTCTGGTTGTTCGTCCACTACTGAACTGCAGTCCTGCTTCAGAACCTGAGTGCTGCGTGTGCATCAGTTTTACAGATCTCATTCTCTTGAATACAGACTGTTGGTTCCTTGCCTCTCCGGCAGATGCACTCCGACTTCGAAGGAAGCTCCCCAATTAGTCGACTCTTACAACATGCTTGTTGGGGAGGCAGTGGGTCTATTCTTGTTTTCCCCACAATAGGGCCCCGGAACCCACACAGGGGAAACAAGCCCCTAATTATTCGCCTCTTACAACATGCTTGTTGGGGAGGCAGTGGGACTATTCTTATGTTGCTACACTTATACTGCTGTAGACCAATTGTCATTCAACAGGTGATGGATGTAGTCAAACTAATTAGACTGAAAGAAAAGGGCAGTCCACTTGAGCTTATCCACTCTAACTTAGAATGGTTACCATAGAATGTTCTGGAAAATAAAAGCAGCCAGCTCAGATGCTGACCACACAAACTATCAAACATCGATTGATCATTACAAAATATATGTTTAGCACCATATGTCTATAGATGTATAGGAGACAGAAAAGAGAGAGGGGAGAGACTAATCTAATTCTGTATAGAACACCACAGACAAGTCTGAAACAACAACGGCAGAGGGCATAGTACTATGAAACAAAGGCAGGGGTTAAAGGATAAAAGTAACACCTTGGGTAGGAAAGTGCATAAGGCGGGAGAGCTGGCGAGAGACTGAGCTTCTTTCAGACAGACTGAGATGAAAGCGACATTCTGCAAAGGACCTGCTACATGAGTTTACATTAGTAAGCTTTATCCAGAACTATAAACCAAATTCATACCAACAATAATAAAGAAATAACATTATATTTGTCAGAAACTGTAAAAACACTGTAAATATGAGTAAAAAGTTATACAAATGAGATGCATATACATTTACAAGAATGATGAAAGCAAAACCTATTTATCACAAAACAAATACCATCATCAAGTGCCTTGCCACATAATGAACATGCCTCTTCCCACCATGCGACATCCAATATGCTGAAATCTTTTCATGCATGACAAAAGACTATCCTCTGCTTCTTCTTGTGTTCGCTTTCTGATTGACATCGAGAGACAGGTTCTTGTGATGACTGTTTTTATGAGTTCCTTTTTAGTCCCATAAACTTTGTGTGCAGTGGTGACTCACTAGGCCATTATTCCCTTCTTAATGGGTTGAACAAGGGACATACTTGCAGGACATGTTCTGTAGTCTGCACACATATCCCACAAGGGCACAAAAGTGAACTACCTAGATGAAGCCTATGCATATGCTGGTCAAGTTTGATATGTCCTGTCCCGAGACGTAAGATAATGACCTGTCCATGCCGGTCAAGTAAGTGGTAGTCATCTCTGGCCAGACTCTGTTCACCTCTAATAGCCTGGATAGCCCTTTTCTTCTCATAGTATGTTACTGCATTCTCTTCTTGGTCACATTCTGCCCCTTTCTTAGCAAGGTTATCTGCGGTTTCGTTTCCTGGTATACCACAGTGGGATAGCACCCACTGGAGTACAGTATGCTTTTTGGGCAGCCACCTTGCCAAGTTGAGATCTCGGGTGAGGGAGTTTGCCACTCTTGAGGGCTTAGAGCACCGATAGCGCATCTGTGAATATGACCACTTGGGGGCAATCAGAACTGGTGTTGTGTAACATTTCGGCAGCCTGCTCTAGTGCTATGATCTCTGCTGTGTAGCTGGAACAGAATTCCCCAGTGGGAATACACTTTGTGTGACAGTGGTTGCCTGGGTATGTAATAAAGACACCAGCACACCCATTTTTAACTGCACTGGTTGCTGATCCATTCGTGTAGACATGTATCCACGACTATTCTGATAATTTTCCTGAATCATGCTAAGAGCAGCTTTTCGTCTTTGAAGGTAAAAGACTATCAAGAAGCCTCTTTCTTTGTTTTCCTCTGTTTCTTTCCATTGATCGTTACAGTTGTCACAATTAACTCCCGATGTTCTCTGCTTATTATTTTACTTCAAAAATGATGACCATCTTTTTCTGATATTAAGGAAATTTGTCTGGTGGCTAAGACATTGTAAAACATTAACATTTCTCACGTCTGCTACCTTATAAATATAATAGATGATCCTTTGGAATTTATCAAGATTTTTTTTTTTAAACAGTCGGTGCAGAAATGGCCATATATAGGCATTTACGGGGCTAGGTCAGAACCAGAAATTACTAGATTTAGTCTTTTCGGAGCGACAGTGTTAACTTCAATACCAACATAAAATATTCAAATTATATTATATTTACAAAATCAATTTGAACTATATTTACACAGTTGACTCATCATTCCTAAATGCCACCCTATGCTACAGTGACGTGGTCAGTCACAACAAAACATAAAAGAAAATTAGTAACCATGGAAATCAGGTGCCTGAGAAAGTCTGTAGGAGTGACCAAAAGAGCTAACATCAAGAATGAGGTCATACGAGATAAAGTCAGCACAGAACCAATTCTAAATTACATACAAAGACTGAGCACTCATGGGAATGCATAATATGGAGTGACATCAATTATGACAGCATAACATTACATAACATAAACCACTTCACTTCTTCAAGTCTCAACCTTAAAGTTCTAGCCTGCCTGTGTCTCCTGGCAGCATCACCAGTGCCCCCCCCCCCCCCCCCAATTTTTATTCTTGTTTTCCCCATAATGCCCCCAGAACCCACACAATGAACCTATATCCGGTGCCTATCGATGCGCTGGTTGGCCTCCGTCCCTCTGTCCTAGAACCAAGCCTTCTGCTGCTATTCTTTCAAATTCACTGTAGCGCTTGATATGGCCAACATATTTCAGTTTCTGAGACAAGACGCTGTTTGATGTTCAGATCTTTTAGGATGTCAGTATTTCTTTCCTTCACATCAAATCAACAAAAATTCTTTGGTTTATATCACCAAATTTCATATACACTGACAGATTAAATACATCTTAATTCAAACATTTGTTTTATTGAGTAGATTTTGTCCGTTTCGATTTCAGTTCTGTAAATTCTTCAAATGATTATCTTCTGCCTTCACATCATGTTACAAAAAGGGAAAAAAACCTTGTATTTGTCTCATTTCATTTGATCTACAAGTTAACTCTAAAGCTTTCATTGACACTTTGATTTAACTTTGTAGACTTTATCTGCTTGTTTTATTTTCACTCTTTTGTATATCCCTAAAACATTATCTTCTTTCGCATTTATGTCACACACACTCCCCCCTCCCCCCACACAAAACTTGGATTATCTCAAAAAATTTGGCCCGTTTTCTAATTAATCTGAAACCAATTTACTTAGAGCAGCAGGACTTTATTTTTCGGGGTACGGGGGTACGGTGGTACGCAAAAGTACAAAGTGCCAGCACCTTTTAGGTTTTTTTTTCAATACTACTATATAATATACTTTGTGATAAGTACTAGAACTTTTTTCAGACAATTTCTGATGAATAGTGGTATTTTATTTTTATGAAAACAGTTTTAATTGTTCTTTTTTTGTAAATTCTTCAATTTATCCTTTTCCTCCATTTAATAGTGTTCCCAAAAATCTAGGATTTATCTATCTTAATTTGATGTACATTTGATAAATAAACACTTTCAACAAACTGCTCAGTATATTTTGTAAACTCCAGTTTCACTTAGGAATATTCTCCAAACAATTATCTGCTTTCACCTAAACATCTCTTATATTACCCCCCCCCCCCAAAAAAAAAATGATTTACATCTGATAAATGTAATACTTTCATACAAACTAAAAAAAAATTTGTTTAAACAGATTTTATCAAAGAGTTTTAACTTCACTGTTGATTCGTTCAAAGTGTTCAAGCATTAGATCCCTAGTTTTCTCAGAGAATGGGGTCACATCTTCGGCTGTGAGGCCCGTGGTTGGAATCGGTGGTAGAATTTCTACAATCACTTTACCTAAAAAGAGTATTCAGAAACAAGTGTGAATATGTCATAATAACATGAACCTCACTATATTTCTTTCTTCCATTTTACCCCCTGCAAGGGGAAAGGGAAGCGTGAGCTCCTCTCACCCCTTCCCCCCCCCCCTCCCCCCAACCTATCATCAGAAAATATGCAAACTGGGTAAATGGCGCCCCCTAACCATGCACAGAAGATCTCTTTTCCGGCAAAAAATAAAATCCGTTCATGTTATTTCAAAATATATTAATATATTTATTCACCATTCAGCGTGTTGTCATCATCCTGATGTAGTATATATTTTGCAGAACGTCGCTCTTGTCGCATTTTGAAAAAACTCTCGCTAGCTCTCTCATCTCGTGCACTTTCATATTCAAGAAGTCACTTATATCCTGTGCCCATCTTCGTGTGGGCAGACCTCTGCCCCTCCTTCCTGGTACCATGCTTTCTGCTATTTTTTTTTCTCCCCAATCCACCATGGCAGTTGAGACAAGACGCTGTTTATTAGCCAGTCCTCCTTGATGTTCAGATCTTTTACAATGTCAGTATTTCTTCTCTTCTTCATCCATGGTATTCTGAGATTCCTTCTACAGCATTTGAACTCAAAAGCCACTATTTTCTTTCTTAAGAGTCCATGACTCACATCTGTATGTTGCTACTGGCAAGATACAGGCTCTCAAAATTTTAATTTTAATTTCCTTGCATGTGCTTAACCATAGATTTTAATGCTGTTTAATATGTGTATTGCTACAACCATCCTCCTTTCGACTTCTGTTTAACAGCCTCTATTGCTGTTTTTTATGGAGCCTACATATTCAAGCTTTGAGGCTTTTCAATGTCTTCACTATGTAACGTAATTTTTTTTTTCTTTTTGTGGTGACAGGCAGTTTTGTTTTCTTTAAATTCAATAACAGGTTTTGATCTTTATGTTTTTAGCAAATTTTCAGTCATTATTATTAAGTACTTAAACAAGGCTCAGCGTCCTCTCCCCCACAAAACTTTAAACGTAAAGTATCCCTTGGCAGTTAAAAATTAAAAGGAGTAGCCTAACGGTGCTGCCCGGGTAAAATATGGAGTTTAAAATCTACACAAAGTAGTTCAGGATCCTCGCTGGCGCTACAGAGTTTGTGCACTCACTGAGATTCTTCAGACTCAGGCTTGAATTAGAAGTAGAACGGAGGTTAGAAGTAGAACGGAGGTTAGAAGTAGAACGGAGGTTAGAAGAAGAACGGAGCACTTATGGGTTCCTACCATTGTGCATTGATGCTGATCCTTTGTTTAAACCTAAATAAACATTTTATTTTATGTTCATTGTTTTCCTCAGGCATTTGTTTAGCGAAATGACATCCTTTCCTGCAAGTTTCTGCAGAAAATACTTTTTTACAGGGCGGAGAAGCAGGCCCCATGCCTGACTCTCATTCTTTCTCATCCAGACCTGGGACCAGCAATGGTTGAGATAAATCGATATATAAGCCAATTTACATTTTAGAAAAAGAAAGACCTTGGGTAAGTGGGACATCTGTCCACATGACCCTCTATATGCAGTCCAGATTCCGGGGTCCCAGTCTGCAAAGGAGGGTGGGGGAGATTAAAAACAAGACCAAAGTCCACATGTGGATAAACAACCACAACTTTTCACTGGGGTTTACATCTAGTAAGCGCTAAGAAAAAGAATAAATCTACATGCATGGTATGTAATGTATTCAGAAGCTGTTAAAGGAATAAATAAATAAATAATTTTTTTTTAATGTACAGCACTGACCTTCATCAAACCTTTTCTCTTTTTTGTTGTAAAAATTATTGTAGGATGACACTACAACTGGAACAACTGGGACCTGAAAGAAGCAGACGACAGAAGGCGTTTGAAAAGTCACACAATGAGGGCGGATTATGTCACATATAATTTAAAAGGTCAGATGTATGAAAAGCCGTTGAGATACACAAAAAGTTAAAAGGTAAAGAATATTATAGCAAGCATTCTTTCCTCTCTGAGTCCCAGCGGGTTTAGCATCAGAGACCCAAGGGGTCGTAATGCAATTCTGAAATTTCACAAGTTTAACATTATAACAGACCATACTAATTTAACTACCACACAACATACACATATTATGCATCAAAGTTGCCAGGGACTATTAGTAAATAAACTGTGTTCGTAGTGAAATATTAGTAAATAAACAGATGGTATGTTGAGAGAAAGTAGTAAAATAAAATAATAATTGTTTTACACCTACCACCAAGGAAAACTCGATAAAATATATCCAAAATGAATCACAAATGAACACAAACCACTTAGTAATGTAGGAAAATAATTATAACCACAATCTGTACATCAGATCTCGTTCCAGAGAAACTTTTAAAACATGATAACAGAGAACCTTTATTTGGTAAAGAGAACTGACTTCCCAAAACAATTAGTATCTTCACATAAAATGTTTACATAGTACTCAATTTGCTTGTAATTTTTGTTCCTAAATAATACGGGGAATAGCACTAGACCTAGCTGACACTGAAGAAAATCACCTTTTTCACGAATAATTATTCTCTTTGTACCATCTGACTTTGTTATCGTTGTACCCTTCGTGTGAGGTATATATTCAGGCTATCCCTCATCACTCTGTTAATGACTGAAACAAGTCTACTTCACAACTTTCTCCATCAAACCCCGGATAAATCTGACAAACACATTTTATATAAATTTGCGGCTTCTAAAGCCATAACTCATGTTGGCATACACGTAGAAGACAGCTGGGTAACCATACTGTTTTCAAACAAACACTGAGTAACTTGGTAAACTTTGCAAACAAACTACACTGTAGACTTTTAAGCACACTTCCAAACAAATCTACTGGTCAACACATGTGCTACAGAACACAAAGAAGTGGAAAAGAAGTTTTAAGGTCCAGTTCACATTGTTATATTGGTCAGTAGTAAATAAAAAACCTGTCCGTGTCAGGTACCGACTGGGCCGCTGGGTAGTTACCAAACAGTGTGTGACACGTTCCTTAGGACTAAAAAAAAGTTAAAAGATTATTTTTTTAAATCAGAAAGTAGGCTGTAGATTAAAGGGTAAACAGGAAAGGATCAACTTCACTGCACTGGGTTCAATCCAGTCTTCTCTACAGAATGGCAAGCCACCTGCTGAGTGTCACATAAAGCACAAAGTCCATAGCTCCTGCAGCAATCCTAAGGATCTCCGCAGAGATTTGACCCGCTAAGTGAAAAACGCAGAACCCATTTTTTTTAAGCATTAGCAGGACGAAAGATTTAAGGGAAGCTGGATTATACAAACTGCCAGATCAATTTCACCCACCTGAGCCTCAACAGCCAGATGGAAGGCCCCTTTCTTGAATGGCAACATAGAGCCATTATGGTTGCGAGTGCCTTCTGGGAAGAATATCACTTTCAGCTGCAACAGAAAGAATGTCAATACAATGACCGGATTACTCAAAAGACACCTGTAGTAATTTACTGGCTTTTGCAGGGTGTGTACATATTTATCAATTCTAATGTTTACAAAATTAAAGAGCCAAACAAACTTTTTAACCCACAAATCTAATTACTGTCAAGATGGCATCGCAAGATGAGTTTCAATTTTGGCCAACATCTAACCAGCGTCAGTTTAGGGAATTGCAGCTGTATTATAAACGCCTGAATGTGAGAGTCCAATTCAAATGTGACTGTTCTAGGAAGTTTGAAAATGCTATGACTGGTCCGGCAAATCGACAGTGGTGGATTTAGTGCTCGTAGAAAAATGAGGAGATTAAAAGCTAATCAAATTATTTGACAAAAGAAACCAAAACTGAAATGCAAGTACGTGAATATGAACATTAAAAGAGCACTGTTCACAAAATATTTTTACCAACTTTATGCTATCACATGGACACTCACTGTCTTCAGAAAACAGAATCAAAATACTCATGTCATTAATAAAATATTTATGTACTTACGCTAGGTGTAACAAGAAAAGATAGACTTTAGAACGATGATATTAGGAGGAGATTGGGCACAGAAGCAATATTGAATTGGTTGACAACAGATCAAATGGTTTGGCCATGTAACAAGACTGGCAACTGACAGTGTATCACAGAGAACAGTGTTTTTCAGATACTGTGGTAGCAGAGCCAAAACAGACTATACAGAAAATGAACCGCAGATATATCGGAGACACTGAAAAGTACTTTATGTAAAGCAAACAGAAGGGCCCAGTTTAAAGATCTTTTCCTGCTCTGACGCTGTGAGGTATTCAAGGGGTATAGAAAAGAAGAAGAACTTGATTCATAAATTCAAGTTACCTTTTTGCTTTTTACAAGACTGCTTGTGCCATCAAGGGTTTTTATTGCGCTCTGTCTGTTTACTCGATTGATATAGATGGTCCCACACATCCAGGCTCCAAGTCCAAATGTTCCGGAACTCCATATTAACTCTTTCTTTGCCAGGATAACACAGTTATCTGGCCACATGGCAAACAATGCTGGAGGAAAAGGAATCAATGAAAATGAGACAACTTTCACTTAGCTAGAATATTTGGATGAGTTAAGATCCAGTATTACAGTATGTGGGGCTCCATAAGTGCTACCTCTAAATCTTCAGCAGTCAGTAAAGAGTTTACATTCTGATAGGAACAGCAGGAGTCTGACTGTAGGTCTGTCTTGCCTTTTCTATATGTCTGCCAGATCCCCTCGTCTGCACATTTCTCCTTAGAAGATCTGTTTGTGCTTCCACACTGTTCAATCGCTCCTAAAGGACTTGGTCTATATCTAGATTGGCATGCGTCAAGCAGTGAAGAACCAGCCAGTCTGTTTGTCTCTTCATTCCCCAACACACCTGAATTGCCTAGAGAAAAAACCTAAAGGAGGCTAATCACACAGGATCTCATGAAGCAATAGTTGCCACTCACATATTGTATAAATAAAAACTTATTCTGACATGTTCCACAATTGAGACTCCTCAAAAGAGGCTGCTGTATCATAGGTCAGAGTACACATGGGTCAGGCTGATGTGCTTGGATGTCGACATGGAAAACAAGGAAGAAATTAAATGTTTGTGTTTATCAGATCTAGCATCCACTTTTGTTTTCTCTCCAGGAGTATCCTGTTGTTAAATGGTGTAGTTACAACAGCAGTAATAATGGCTATGAGCCTGTGCAGCACCGGGGAAAATGAGATGGTTTATGACTGACAGAACAGGAGCCAGAAGTAATAGTGAAGCAGTGGAAATGATTAGGTACTACTACTAGTACTAATTGTAGTTGCATTGTTAATAGTAATTCCATCAGCAGTTGTCGTAGCAGCAGTGGTACTAGTAGTTGCATAATTAATTGTAATTCCATTAGCAGTTGTCGTAGCAGCAGTGGTACTAGTAGTTGCATAATTATTAGTAATTCCATTAGCAGTTGTCATAGCAGTAGCAGTACTAGTAGTTGCATTAATAATAGTAATTCCATTAGCAGTTGTAGTAGCAGCAGCAGTACTAGTAGTTGCATTAATAATAGTAATTCCATCAGAAGTTGTCGTAGCAGCAGCAGTACTAGTAGTTGCATTAATAATAGTAATTCCATTAGCAGTTGTCGTAGCAGCAGTGGTACTAGTAGTTGCATAATTATTAGTAATTCCATTAGCAGTTGTCGTAGCAGCAGCAGTACTAGTAGTTGCATTAATAATAGTAATTCCATCAGCAGTTGTCGTAGCAGCAGCAGTACTAGTAGTTGCATTAATAATAGTAATTCCATTAGCAGTTGTAGTAGCAGCAGCAGTACTAGTAGTTGCATTAATAATAGTAATTCCATTAGCAGTTGCAGTAGCAGCAGCAGTACTAGTAGTTGCATTAATAATAGTAATTCCATCAGCAGTTGTCGTAGCAGCAGCAGTACTAGTAGTTGCAATAATAATAGTAATTCCATTAGCAGTTGTCGTAGCAGCAGCAGTACTAGTAGTTGCATTAATAATAGTAATTCCATTAGCAGTTGTAGTAGCAGCAGCAGTACTAGTAGTTGCATTAATAATAGTAATTCCATCAGAAGTTGTCGTAGCAGCAGCAGTACTAGTAGTTGCATTAATAATAGTAATTCCATTAGCAGTTGTAGTAGCAGCAGCAGTACTAGTAGTTGCATTAATAATAGTAATTCCATCAGCAGTTGTCGTAGCAGCAGCAGTACTAGTAGTTGCATTAATAATAGTAATTCCATTAGCAGTTGTAGTAGCAGCAGTGGTACTAGTAGTTTTCAACAGGAGTAGCAAAAACACTAGTAGTATTAGTAATCATAACAGAAGTAGTCATTGTAACACTGACTACAACAGTAGCAATAATAGTACCAGTAGTTTTAGCAGTAATGACAGTAGTTGTAACAGCAGCAGCAGTAATAGTAGTATTTGTACCTACAGCAGAAGCTGTAACCCTAACAGTGATTATAACAGTAGTAATAACAGCAGCAGCAGTTGCAGTAGTGCTAGTATTATTGACAACAGCTGAAAAAGTAGCAGTAGCAGTACTAGTAGAAGTAGCAGCAGCAGTTCTAGTAGTAGCAGCAGAAGTAGCAGATCTAGTAGCAGCAGCAGTGTTAGCAGTAGCAGCAAAATGGTGACTGCCTCACTGGTAGTTGGGAGTCAGAAGGATACTTACGAAGCATGTCAAGAGAGCTCTGATGATTCAGCACAATAATGACAGGCTGGTCTGTGTCCAGATTTTCTTGACCACGTATGATCACTTCCACGCCCAACAGTGGGCTCAAGAACTTCTTCACCCAGAATGATACAAAGCTGCGGAAACACATGGAATAATCAGTAAATATCAAATTCATTCCTCTTTTTTCATTCCATGCCTCACCAGAGCAAAGGTCTTCAACGACTTGCAAACTTTATAAGGGCAGTAGGCTAACTTTGCAGCTAAGAATGAGAGATTCAGGAGTCAAGATTGGCAGTTAGGAACAAGATAAGAATGAATAAGTAAAAGTAGTTATTCAACTGATCATTCTCATAGCACATCAGACATGCTCATAAGCACTAAGATCCTATCTTCAGTATCTCCCTCAGCATGAAGCAACTGATAACATCAGTTCTGTACTGGTATACTTTTACTCTTTTACGTCAGACATGGGCACTATGCAGGTAGCCAGAGAAGAGTAGTAAACCAACAAGGAACTGGTCAGCACACTCAGAGAGAGATACTGATATTGTATTTGTAGACAGTTTCATGTAAGTCTTAAGTCTTAAGTGTTTCAGTACTCTGATATAGTTACAATTTAATCTCAAATATTCTGGTACCAATGACCACTGTAGTTACATTATTTCAACTCATTCACACTAAAATACTGCAACTCTAAACCTCACAAATTCTGTAACTAAATATTTGAAGTAAATAATGTGTGGGATCTCAAGAGTGTCACATTGTTTATTTCATCCCATCTTGGCGACTTGGAGATTTTGTAGGGAATTCCTGGAAAAGCCCATTATTAAGGTGGGGTGGTGGGGGAAGTTAGTCAGTGTTTATTTCACACCCTAATACCACTATACTTTTGGATTTTCCTGGGAATTCCCTACAAAATCTCGGAGTCCCTGGGATAGGACGAAATAAAAGAAAAGAACATTATACACTACACTTAATGAGAAACTAATTTACAAATGGTTTCTCAGGTTCCTCAGACAAAGAATCCCATAAATTCTAAATAATCATCTCCAAGCCGATGATCAGCACAATGGCAAAGTACACACATCTTCATCAAGTGCTTTGTTAGCTGGTGCAGGCATTCATGCATCTCCATAGATCTTGGTCTTTTGTGTTCTGGATCAATTCCCCTGATGACATTCCTGATTGCCACTGTCTCAAGCTATCCACCATTATTTATCTTGGTCTGCCTCTGCTACCAGTGATCTTTCCAGTCGTCACAATATTTTTCAGTGCTCCTTTTCTCATCACATGACCAAAGAACTTTGTCTGTCTCAATCTCATTGTTGTATATAATATTCGGCTCTCCTTCAAACTTTGTCCCCATATTATGGCGGCCAAACAAATACCCTAACAGGGCCTCAGTCATGTGTAAAATGGGGAGTGCCTGCCGAGGAACAAATCGTGGTAAAACTAGGATCGCCTCAGACTAACGGGCCAATATTATCGAGGGCAAACAAATGCTCTAACAGTGTCTCAGCGATATGTTAATTGCGGACCTGTTTTTGCGACTATGCCGCACCGCCGACAGTATCCCAGTAGCCGCTATGCGCGGAAGGGGGGCTAAACTAGATTGCTGGGACTCACAAGCAGCAGCTACTGCCTCTCCTGCAACTTCCTACAATTTATTTGCTCGTGAGTACCAGATGCTTTTATCATTTTTTTATTCAGTATGTATTGTAATTGTAATCGTTTTTTTTTTAATACTAAAAGACTGGAATTCTAAAAAATGTCACCAAATTCTGTAACTTAATATTAATAATTAAATATCTGAAGTAGTGGGATTTCAATATTTGGCTCTCCTGTCAACTACGGCCGGTAGACAACAGTAGACGACCGGTTAGTCGGAGTTCTGTCTCCTGGCTGCAGTGCTATTATGGACTGGACAGGAGGAAACGAAACAAATGACATAATTACTGTGTGTTGGCGATAGACAGCGTGCACTGCCCAGCTATGATCATACGATTAGGGTTTGGGTTAGGGTTAGGGGTAGGGTTTGAGTTAGGTTTAGGGTTAGGGTGTGGGTTAGTGTCGCCGCATCTCGTCTTTGCACAAACTCAAAGTAGCAACCTAAACCCTAACCCTAACCCTGAACCTAACCCAAACCCTAAACCTAACCCAAACCCTAACCCTAACCCAAACACTAATTGTATGATCATAGCAGGACAGTGCACGCTGTCTATCGCCAACACACAGTAATTATGTCACTTTTTTCGTTCCCTCTAATCAACTCCATAATGCGTCGCAAGAAGCGGTAATTGAACGCGGTCGCTAATTTGAGTAGCAGCGCGGGGTCTGCAAGGCATGTCGACCTCACTTTGTTTTTTGATTCCGGCCTTCTCCAGTCTGTAATTGCACTGCAGCCATGGGACAGAACTCCGACTAACCGGCCGTAGTTGACAGGAGAGCCCAATATTTTAACATCATTCATTACTTCACTAATACTACCACTGCTGCTACTACTACTAATACTATTAGTACTACTACTATTAAACTTTGCTGAGACACACACACAAACTTACAAATGGTTTTTCGGGTTCCGTGGCCGGGGGATTCCATAAATAATCGTCCCCAAGCCGATGATTAGTACCATGGCAAAGTAGACTACTAGTTTAAAATAATATTTAAACGGCTTAACCGTTAGATACAACACTGGAACAACCAGAAGGGTGACTACAAGAAGAGTCTGGCAAAAACTCAGCGTCTCCAGGAAAGCCATGTCTCGATGTGCGCGAGTCTTGCCACTATCAGGCGATCTATTGTTTGTCTGCTGTAAGGTTCAGAGTACACTTTTATCGTTTACTATCGCCTGATCATTGGTGAGAAAGAAAACCATAAAGGATTACCCATCATTCTTCTGTCTTCCGTAAGCTCACCGGCTGTAAATTAGTGTAAACTGCAGCAGAAAATTTGGTTGTTCGTCCGCATGTGGAATGTAGTCTTGTTCCAGAACCTGAGTGTTGCGTACACATGCATTAAGCATATCTAGTTCATATGTGTTCAGACTTCTGGTTCCTACGCTCTCAGGCAGATGCACTCTCAATTAGTCGACTCTTACGACATGCAATAGACCCCCTGTCAACCCTGGGTTGACAGGGGGTCTATTTTTGCCCCTCCCCCACAATGGAGCCTCTTAACCCACACGGAGATGTTCAACATTGAGGGGTGAACATAGGCTGACTTTTAATCGAGTAGCAACTGGTACTATTAGCATGTCGACCCTTCGTTGAAACTGAAGAAGGTGACGGAGCATTTGTGGAAATGTCTTGCGTGCAGTGATGTCAATCCTTGATTAGCTGGTAGATTCTGCATTAGTTGTAGCTGGCCGATCTATGGATCACGACGACATTGTTATTGCACTTAAAGTGATCGGTCGATCCGAGGATTGTGGAAACTAAGTGTCCACATCAATGCTTCAAATACAAGAATTTGGAGTAGAAATCGCAGAGGCACAACGGACGCACAATAAATTTGTAAGAAGAAGAAGCAGGAAGAGGAGGAGGAAGTAGTAGTAGTAGTAGTATTAGTAGTAGTAGTAGTAGTAGTAGTAGTAGTAGTAGTAGTAGTAGTAGTAGTAGTAGTAGTAGTAGTAGTAGTAGTAGTAGTAGTAGTGGTGGTGGTGCATTTTGCGTTTCCCGGGTTAGGATGAGAGTGACTTTCCTTGCCATTCATAAATCGCCGTGTCACAGGGTGTGTCCTATGTTGCCGGGGTGTTGCGCTCATAATGCGCCGTAGCAGCAGTAGCATTAGTAGCAGCAGCAGCAGCGGCGACAGAATGAATAGCAGGAGCAGAAGCACCGCTGACAGCAGCAGCACCGCTGACAGCAGGAGCAGTAGCAGAAACAGCAGCAGTAGTAGTAGTATTAGTGGTGGTGGTAGCAGCAGCAGCAGTAGTAGTAGCAATAGTAGTAGTAGCAGCAGCACCAGCAGCAGTAGTAGTAGTAGTAGTAGTAGTAGTAGTAGTAGTAGTAGTAGTAGTAGTAGTAGTAGTAGTAGTAGTAGTAGTAGTAGTAGTAGTAGTAGTAGTAGTAGTATACTGTGTGGCATTGGCTTTGATACATCCACAGCTCAGTGTTTCGTGTACTGGCGATCCTATAGTTCCTTTCCCATTCAACATAAATTATAAGTCTCTGTTTGCAGCCTGTAGTCTGCTTTCTTTGTGATTCAACTTCTTTTTAAGATATCTTCGCTACCCTTTTATCATTACTGATGCACAGCATGCATCTGGCCGACGCTCAACACTCACAGAAAAGGCGAGACGGATGTACAATAAGACAGTTACTGGTACCATCAGAATTGGAACTCTTCTCTCGCTGCCGAAGATGGGGACGGAGCACTTATGGACGTATCCCTAGTATTGTGATGTCGATTCTTAATTTAACATTCGGAACTAGTAACGAAGTCAGCTCAGCTCCACCCCTCTGCATACTAGGTCACCTTTCATTGATCTTTGTCAGGCTAGTCAACGTTGCTCAAGGTTACAGGGGTGTCCAGGTCTACTGCTGTATATTACACTCTCTCGTGTTACCTAGGTTCAGTGTGTGGGAAAAGGGGTTAGGATTAGCGCCATTTGTACATGTTAAGGGGTTGTTCATAGGTGCTCAGATCCTCCCCTCAGTATGAACCCCAACGTCCGATGGCTAATAGTACCAGTTCTATGTTGATTAAGTCTTCTGGTGTGTCTTTTTTTGTCTTGTTGCTATGGCGATCTTAATTTCCAAGTCTGCCATTCTGGCGAGTGGTGTGGATTCACTGCCCCCCAAAGTCCTCTATCCTTCCCTTTTCTCTGAGGGCATTATTAATAATAACAGCATGATCCATAGGCTGACCGTCGGTAGTGATTGCTGATCCAGCTTACCTATTATAATCTGTGTATGCCGTATGAGTGGTTGTCGTATATGTGCAAGCGATAAAGAATGCTGCAGCTATTGAGGTGGACTCGTGGGAACAAAATGCCATGAACGTGTTGCGTGGGGGAAGCACATCAGGAAGGGAATGAGAATACAGTAAGAAATGATTGCGATATAACACTGTCGTCTGGAAAGACGGAAAGGTGCCAGTCAATCAGTAGAGTCCCCGGTTCATTATCTCATAATGCAGTTTTGATGGCTCTGCTTAGCATATACAGTGCCATATACTAATTGTGTCTTAAAGTCTAGAAAACGGCCATACCTTATGCAGATCTTACCAGAAAACAGGACACGTGTGTATGCTTATTTAAATTTATTATTACTATTTTGGCTTTTCGAAATATGTTATACATACCACCAGACCAATAGCTCATACAGTTGTAAGTTATCATGCACACTGAATTGTAATGGAGTGGCAAGGTTCTGGACCCTCTCCACGGGTGATGCTCATCCGCATGGTGGCACTTTGTGTCACCGGGTGTTTATAGCTTGTGTGATGTCCTGGTAGGGTACAACTACCTACCTACTGCGGTGATCGCATCCGGGCACGGCTTCCAATACTGGGTTCCACCCCCACACCCCCCCCCCCTCCCACATCCCAGATTTTGGAATGTGGGTAGCTGTCGAAAATATTTTATAAACAGCTGGGTAAATGTTTCGTTTCGTAACTATAGAATTTGTACTTTTGAGCTGCTTATGTATTGCTGGTTTTTTTTTAGTCAGCCTGGCTTGGGACTTGATTAAAAAAATGTAATGATGACATCAACAGAGTGAAGGAAAAAAGGAATGAGAACTGCATGTGAAAGCAGTCAATATATAATATAATTTTTTACCGAGAACATTTAATATACGTATATATATATATAATATATATATATTTTTTTTTTTTTTAACGTATCCAGAAACCATGAGTTGTAAACCCTTTGGCTCGGTACTATGGATATCGCAACCCTTCGGCATTGATTCCATTATAGGTACCGTTAATCTGGGAGAAATGTGGCTTTTCTGCCTACCCCCGGGAGTGAACCCGGACCACAAGGAGTTCGTCACCCGGCCGCCGCGAAAATCAGGTTTAACCAACTTCGCTAGAGAGCCGTGCTTATATATATATATATATATATATATATATATATATATATATATATATATATATATATATATATATATATATATATATATATATATATATATATATATCTTAGGGGAGACAATGTATTATTTTTCTAAGGGAGATGATCACATTTTAATATGCCTATAAATATCAGTTGCAATTGCATATTTATTTCTAGAGCATGTGTGTTCGGAAGGTTTTGATTTATTTAAATATAACTACCTAGACTGGTAGAAGAGTAATCTGTTTGTATTCATTTGAAAATTGGTAACCACATACAAAATAATTCTATAGGTTTAGAATACTTGAAGCTTTGTTCTACCCTAACTAGATATAAGAGGTGTCCCAAAACAGATGTGCGCTTTATTATAATATCTGTACAAAAAATATTGAAAAATTTTTTGACAGGCGCAACTGAATGTGCCTAATTTATAGAAAAAAGCTAGCAAAAAGCATTTTAACAGAAAGGAGGGGCAGGGGCCGACCGACACGAAGATAGAATTAAGTGACTTGAGTATAAGCGTACATGAGACGGGAGAACTGGCGAGACAACGCGCTTCCTTCAGGCAGACTGTGATGAGAGCGACGTTCTCCAAAGGGTTTGCTACATAATGATTATGATTCCTATGTAGAAGTACAGGTGTAGTTTATTTACTTTAAAGATGTTTCTAAAAATATTTCGTATAGTTTTAAATGTAGGTTTGCAGAAAATGTCAACAATAAATAGCATCATAAGACAATAATCAAATTTTAAAAGAAGAAAAACTTTGACTGACTGACTGACTTTCTACCCCACCAGGACATCAAACAAGCGATAAACACCCGATGACACAAGAGCCACCATGCGGATGAGGATCACCGTGGAGAGGTCCCAGAAACCGCTTTCAGACAATTAACCATATTGATGGCCTGCCTATATTGCGGCCCCTGGCAAAAGCCAGAGTGGGGCTTCAAATAACAAAAAAGTAAAAAAGTACGTCCTAAGATGGACGTAAGGAATTCATATTTGTACTTTTGAGCTGCTTATGTATTGCTAGTTTTTTTTAGTCAGCCTGGCTTTGGACTTGATTAAAAAATGTAATGATGACATCAACAGAGTGAAGGAAAAAGGAATGAGAACTGCATGTGAAAACAGATTATATATAATATAATTTCTTACTAAGAAAATTTAATATACATATTTATATATATATATATATATATATATATATATATATATATATATATATATATATATATATATATTTATATATATTTTATATATATATATACATATATCTTAGGGGAGACAATGTATTATTTTTCTAAGGGAGATGATCTCATTTTAATATGCCTATAAATATCAGCCACCACCACAATTACTACTATTTGTGTTATCATCCATTTTCGTCCTTATAAGGACGAAATTTTTTGTCATTTAAAGCCCTACCCTGGCTTTTGCCAGGGGCTGCAATATAGGCAGGCCATACATATGGCCAAATGTCTGAACGCGGTTTCTGGGACCTCTCCACGGCGATCCTCATCCGCATGGTGGCACTTTGTGTCATCGGGTGTTTATCGCTTGTGTGATGTCCTGGTGGGGTAGAAAGTCAGTCAGTCAGACAATTACTACTACTACTACGACTACTACTGCTGCTACTTCTACTGCTACTACTACTACTGCTGCTGCTGCTGCTACTACTACTACTATGACTACTACTACTACTGCTACTTATACTACTACTGCTGCTGCTACTACTACTACTATTGCTGCTGCTGCTACTACTATGACTACTACTACTACTGCTGCTTCTACTACTGGCATTCGATGAGCATCGTGGAGCTCCCATTTAAAAGGTGATAGTAATATTTTTGATATACATATATTACTACGCTCTGAATTCATGAAATGTGGGGGGGGGGGGGAAATTGTACACATATTTTTCCATTTCCCGATTTTATCAGTTTGCCTAAATTAAAGCCAAAGCGACCACACTCAATACTAATTCCAGATTTCATTTTATAATTTAATTCACGCCCTGACGAAGCGAAGGAAAAGATTAAGAAGAATTCGATGAAAATGAGGAGGCGATGAGGAGGAAGGATGAGATAAAATAAAATAAAAAACAGTTGCAGCTTGAGTAGAATTACGAAAATGACGAAGAATAAGCAGTACAGAAATGGACAGGAGAATGAGGAAGCGAGAGAGCAAGATAAAGTAAAATATGTATACACACATGCACGCGCGCGCACAGACACATACACAAAGAGACGGGAACGGAGGGAGGAGGAGTAGAGAAGCGGAAGAGAAAATGAAAAGGATGATGAGGATAATAAGAAGCAAGATGACCTGGCAAACAATGTGGACGAGGAAGAGGAGGAGAAGAAGAAGGAGGAGGAGGAGGACAGAGAAAGAGGAGGAGGAGAAGCAGGAAGAGGAAAAGAAGAAAGGGTATTGCATGTAGGCTAAATTATAAAATACTCGACTGCGACTATCCAGCCGTCGTTGTAATGTCACAAATAATGGATTCTTTCAAAGAACTTGCTACATTAATGTTATAAGCTGTGCAAATATGTCACACTCGAGCTTACAACGAATTACATTTTCTTTTTTAAATATTGCCAAAGCCATCGGCGAGGCGTGCATGTTACGGCTGTAACCGCCGCTCATACTTTCCATTCTAACAGAAAAATTCGTTATTTTACTATTGATTATTACTGGTGACTATTTATTACAAATACGATATTCGATTTATGAAAAAAAAAAAAAAAAACGCTCGCAGGACACTCATGCAGAAAGTTGCCCGTTGAGAATACTACGACGCTAGCTGCGCACGCATACTCTCAACAGCAAGACCACGAGGATAAAAATATCACCTGATACCCTCTTCACTGTAAGCTTTACATGCTAACACTTACACGTGCGAATTGATCACGTCTCGCCACTAACCAAATCACTTCACCAGTTCCATATTTCCATTCTTTGGCGCCAGGTTCTCCATTAATTTGAGCAGGTCACACCCTTTATGCCTTTCTTCTTGATAATCATTCCCTCCATTGTGTGGTTGTATTCTTTTGCCGGGTTGTCTCTCAGTGACTCCGTTTCTATTCACAATTGCAACATCCTCAATTTTTAACTTGCTATTTACAAAAGACATTATATCTCCTCGAGACGAAGATCTAGAGGAAATGAAATTCACTTTAGGAGACGGTGACCTGCAGAATATCGGCTCAAATCTGTTAGAAGATGACAGCGAAGTCAACGAGTTAAATGAAGATACAAGACGATTCTTGTCGGTCAACCAATTTTCGCCCAGACCGCATTTGTACAAAGTCTTACTAACAGATGTCGATTCTTTCTGAAGGTTTGCCAGAAAATCACTTTTGTAACTGTTTAAATAAGTATCATCTTCTTCCCTGTCTTGTGATGTTAAAATATCATAACTTTCAATGGCACTGCAGTCCGATTCCGAGCTGGCGTAGATGCTTTCATCAGATCGATTTTCTAGGTTTTGGAATCTCTTTGGCTGGAAGAAACAGAAAAATCTGGGGGTGAGTGCACAAAGCACAACATTAAAGTACTGCTCTTATTATTGTTCAAAATGGCAGGACCATATTTCCGATTGTTCGTAATTACGAAATGGGTCCTAATCTCAATCCTCAGCAATTACTGACTGGTACACGTAACAAACTCAGGCACAGCTCCGCCCATCAACACACTTGTGATTGACCGAGTCCGGCTAGGACACTGTGATCGGACGTTCAGTTTCCGCATTAACCTGTGAGACGCGCAATGGTAAGTGGCAGGGACGCCAGCTTGGTCGACGCTCCTACTCGCGACTTAGCGCTCTCTATATTATATGACGCGAGCGAGCACCTTTAACGACCCCATAACATTCACAACGAGCTGGCCTTAACTCTGACCTCCCTTTCCCAACACACTGAACATAGGTCTCATGAGAGAGTGCATTCTACAGCTGTAGACCAAGACACCCCTATAACCTTGAGCAACGTGGACCAGCCTGACCAGGCATCAATGAAAGGTGACATAGTGTGTAAATGGACGGAACTGGGCCTGAGTTCGTTACTAGTTCCAAATTACATAACCTTCCAGTGAACCCCGAGTGTTGCGCGGACACAAAGAAAATATGGAAAAAGGGGGGGGGGGGTATCAGAGCAGTGGCGTAGCAAGGTCAGGTGGTAGCCGTTACGGAAAATTTCTGGTCACCCCCCCCCCCCCTTTTTCCCCTCACACACACACATACACACCACACCACACAGACCACACATTGACACACATTTCTTTTTTATTAAAAAAAAAACATTTTTTTTTCATCTTGTTCCCCCTTCTTTACCCGGTGCAACCCCCTCCCGCAGGCCCTAGCTGTGCCTCTGCATGGGAGAAAAAGCTGGTGAGGAGTTGTCGATCCCTTTTCAACTATTCTGAGGGACTCCAGTATATGATGATGATGATGATGATAAAAATAATGTGCTGAATTACTTCTTCTTCTGTCCCCATCTTCCTCCTTCTTATGTGCAACTTTGTACCGAGAAGGTAGAACAGTTGGTGCTTATGTCCAAGCTGTTAGAGCAGATTGCTTGTCAGCCCATATAGTTACGTATATAATTTTAACTATAATGATGAAAACTTGTCCTGGGCTCTACATTCACATCACCGTGGCAGATTTAACCCCCTTTCATGGCTCAGACCACCCGACCTCCAGAGCGTCGGAAGTAAAGAGCACCAGAAGAATCATGGGTTCTTAATTTATAACGTACCCCAAACACGAAATTCCCGTGGGAAATCCACAGCTGACCTGACAGTCCATTATTTCAAGGGGTGCAAGTGTGCTGTTGTGTGGTGCTGTTTTTGAGTGTTCATCTAGTGTCTTCTAACCCTAACCCTAAAATTGGCTGTAGAGAAATCGCGAGAAACTACAACCTGAACACCCTAGAATTTATTGGGAATGTCTCCCGTGACGTCAGGGGTAAGTTATAAATTAAGTACCGAATCATGACCAAACCAACCTTCTGTATGCTGATGAAATATTTGGGGGTGGGGGCTACAATGTTTCTGCTGTCGTTCGTGATTGTGGAATTTGGAAGTTCTACTCTCGTCTGGCTTGATATGTTTTAATGACACCTTAAACATACATCAAAGTTTACCAAAGGAAAAGTGGAACCATCCGTTCTTCTGACGGCGTTCTTGTTACTCCTCTGCCAGAGGACAGCTGCTAAATCTGTAACATCACATAACCAGGGGTGGTTGCTGATGTGAAAAACACTGGGCCTGTTGATGGCGTTTGGCTGCAGAATCTTGTCTATCAGACGACTCAGTTCTGGAGATGTAACCATAATTGAATTGACTTGATATGATATGCTCGTATTTGTATTTTAGTTCACTCCATTTTGGGGAATCCGAGACTTTCCAGGGAAAGTTCGATATTATTAGGGAAAAAGGGGGGGGGGGGGGGGGGTTTTATAGTTAAATTTAATCGGTGCTCGTTTTTTTTTTTTCTTCTTCTTCTTGTTCACCGGCTGTGAATTCCGGCGGTAAGTCGCGGTTGTTCGTCCAAATGGACTTTTGGCTTTTACCTCGACCTGAGCTTTGCGTGTACATCCGTTTTACTGTCTTATTTGTTTGCAGTCCTCGTTCCCTGCCTCACCGGCAGATGTACTCCGACTTCGAGGGAGGTGCTCGTTTTAAACAGCGACATCCCTGTAATATTGTAATTTCCTCAGGAACTTTCCGATTTCCTGAAATGGGTTGAACTAAAATAAAAGTACCTATATTTTTCCTATATTGTCTTTTCTGCTTTTTAACCACCAATGTAAAATAGATTTACAGCAAGCCTCGTTACATCGTTCCATCATTTGCTATCGTATGTATCCCAAACCCTTCCTAAGTTGATCTTGCTAAGTAACGCAAATGAAGGAACTCTTTCCACGTCTTCAGTGATATTGGGCAAATAGGGTTGACCTATATTTTATAGACCAGTCGGCACTGGGTGGGGGATGTGATCAGCATCACGCCAGTCGCCTTACTCTCAAGGACTGTACCTGGTACCCACTTAGAGCTGGGTCGACCTGGGAGCCAGGGTTATTTTTGAAGAAAAAAAGTCCGGTTCCGCCATAGCCCTACCCACGACCTTCTGACCTGCAGGTGAACGTCTAGGCCTCTACCACACGGCGGCTCTTGATTGATATTGCTAATGTAATCAATGTTGATTGATATTGCTAATGTAATCAAATTAATCTTTTGTTTTATTCACCTCCACGGAAAACGAAAGTAACATCTACTCTAGACAGTTACAGGTGTCTTGATATAGCTTCTTAGACCAGTGGTTCTTAATCTTACTAACGCCGCGACCCTTTTATACACTTCCTCATGTTGTGGCGACCCCAAACCACACAATTATTGTTGTCACTACTTCACAACTTCAACGAATATTTGTTTTGCGATGGTCTTTGGCAAATGTCCGACCCCCCCCCCCCCCCCCTCCCCCCCCCCCCAATTTTTTTTTTCCGCAACCTATAGGTTGAGAAATGCTGTCTTAGACAATCGAATTTTCACATCTTTTTCTTCGTTCTTCATGCTATAGAAGAAAAACCTAAAAAAAAAAAAAAGGGCGGGTGGGGGGGGGGGGGGGAGTTTGTTGAATTAGAGGAAAGGTATGAGATATCTATGCGCGAAGGATAATATGAAAATCTACTCCTTGAACACTCTTTGAACCTATCTCGACTTCAAAACTTCAGCACAAGAGCTTCAATCGAATCGGGGCTTATTTGGAAACAGCCAACCCCAGGCTGCCACAGTAACAAGAAAATAAAGAAAAAGAGTTCGTTAGGTAGGAACTAGAACCATTGCGTTGTAAATTAACAATTAACATCGTTTTTACACACGCACACACAAATGTGCTGAGCACCCCATCAGGCACAGAAGAAAATTCACATGAAATCCTATATTTCCTAGCGAGGATACACACTGATATATCTACCCACACAGTTTAACTACTAGAGAAAATGCAGGGCTAACTATAGAAAAACGTACCACCATCATCAATGAGCCAAAATAACCGTCCATTCATACGCAGTCGCGTGAGCACTGCTGCTGAGCACATGTATCATGCAGCAGCCGCTGGCTGAGCGAGATATCCTGTCCCTCGAGCGCCTGCGGGTTCAGTCCAGAAAGCCAAAAATGAGATCGTTTTGGGATGCCCTGGTCTTCTAATGCTCAGTGGCCAGCTTTTTTTTTCTCCACAAGCTAAATCAAACCAAAAACAATAGCTGTTGTCGTACGGCTACATTCAGAAGGCTTAGGGGGTGTTCTCAACCTTCCTAACGCCTGGCCCTTTAATACTGTTCATCATGTCGTGCTAGCCCCCTACCATACATTATTTTCGTTGCTATTTCATTACTTCAGTGAATATGTATTTCCGATGGTCTCAGGCGACCCCTGTTAAAGGGTCTTTGGACCCCCAAAGAGGTCGCGACCCGCAGGTTGAGAACCGCAAGTTTAATGTGATATCTGGGGTTTTCCCTGTTAAACTATTTCAATACTCAGCTCTTTGATTCGCACGGGTTTCAAACCATCAAGCAGCAGCAGTAAGGAGACAAAACAGTCAGTCAGCTGGACAATCAGTCAGCCATACAGTCAGTCAGCCAGACAGTCAGTCAGCTGGATAATCAGTCAGCCATACAGTCAGTCAGCCATACAGTCAGTCAGCCAGACAGTCAGTCAGCTGGACAATCAGTCAGCCATACAGTCAGTCAGCCATACAGTCAGTCAGCCATACAGTCAGTCAGCTGGACAATCAGTCAGTCAGACAGTCAGTCAGCTGGACAATAAGTCAGCCATACAGTCAGTCAGCCATACAGTCAGTCAGCCAGACAGTCAGTCAGCCGGACAATAAGTCAGCCATACAGTCAGTCAGCAAGACAATCAGTCAGCCGGACAGTCAGTCAGCTGGATAATCAGTCAGCCAGACAGACAGTCAGTTGGACAATCAGTCAGCCAGACAGTCAGTCAGCTGTACAATCAGTCAGCCATACAGTCAGTCAGCTGGGCAATCAGTCAGCCAGACAGTCAATCAGCTGGACAATCAGTCAGCCGGACAGTCAGTCAGCTGGACAATCAGTTAGCTAAACAGTCAGTCATCTGGACAATCAGTCAGCCATACAGTCAGTCAGCCGGACAGTCAGTCAGCTGGACAATCAGTCATCCCTACAGGTAGTGACGAAGCATGCATTTAACAGCTGGAATCGACATACTTATACTTTCAATCGCCTAAACAAATTGCATCATTTTACTTAATGAATACACAACAGGTTTACGACAAGAATACGACGAAAAGAAGGCTTATTGCATGCTTATGCCACTCATGCAGAAACGGTAGACCCGGAAAGCTACCGGTTATTAGCACTACGATGTTAGCTGAGCACGCATACTTTCAACAGTGAAGCGACGAGGAGGAAAATATTACGTAGTACCCTCTCCAGTGTAATTGATTACACAAGGGAACTGATGACGCCTCGCCATTGCCTGTGAGCTAACTCCTAAGAAAAGCAACACGCTTGAAGGTGAACTTACGGTATCCACAATTAGGCAGATGAAGTCTGGCCACGGGGTTGTTGCAGCCATTGAGTCGTATGGCGGAGTTCACCTCGTGTGAAATCTCCCCAATCACCATCTGTAGCAAGGTGATTCCCCTGTAGCACGGACAGATAGATATGTGTGAATTATGTATACAGCATGTGTGAATTATGTATACAACATGTGTGAATTATGTATACATGTGTGAATTATGTATACAACATGTGTGAATTATGTATACATGTGTGAATTATGTATACAACATGTGTGAATTATGTATACATGTGCGAATTATGTATACAGCATGTGTGAATTATGTATACAACATGTGTGCATTATTTATACATATGCGAATTATGTATACAACATGTGTGAATTCACATTCATTATCATCATCATCATCATTATCATCTTTACGTGTTTTTTCGGTCACCAGTTGCTGTTGACTGTCTGATCAACCCCCTCCACCTTTGACGGTCAGATGCAATGGACTTTATAGTTGCATGTTAAGACCTGTTAAGTCAGTCAAGTTCTGTTTAAGGTCTGATTTGATATGCCTCTCCAGGTCTTTCTTAATCTCCCTATTCTAGTCTTCTCCTGTACCGAACCATGTAATACTGTTTTTGAAAGACCGTCAGAACTTATCACATGTCTGTACCATTGCATTTTCCGTCTTTTCAATGTAGTTAAAAAAGGCTCATAATTGTCAATGTGCTAGGCGAACCTCGTCATTTGTGATATGTTCTATATGATATGCCAAGAATGTTTCTGGACGATCTCATTTCCAATGCTCGTATCTTCTTTTCGAGTTCAGATGTTGAGGTCAAATTTTTCCAGCAATAGTAAACATTATAACAGCTAGTGCTCTGAGCTGTCAACTCTTGTTTCTACATCAACAGTTTTTCGCTGTTTAGCAAGGACTGAAATTGTCTGGGCAATACTTGAAATAATTTCTGGTCTGGATAATGTGTCACTTAAGATGAATCCTGCATATTCGAAATGAATGATTTGTTCTAATTTATAACCTTCCCCGTACATTGATGCAGTTATGCCAGATGGATTATTAGACATTACTTTTGTTTTATTCGCATTATTACCATTCCGTACTTAGTCGAGGTTTCACCAAGTACCATTATGAGATCGACTAGCTCTTGTTCTTCCCCGGCCAACCCATAGATGACGTCTGCAAACAGTAAGTTTGTTATAGTTCGACACCCTATACTACCTGTTCTATTATGTTTTTTTTAAGTCGTCACTCATAGTTCTTTCTAAGGAGATATTAAACAGTGTTGGTGAGAAGGAGGCAGCCCTGACAGGCTCATACTTAGTTAGTTAGTTAGTTGGGTTATCATCAATGCACTCCGGACATGTCCATAGGTGCTCAGATCCTCCCCTCAGTATAATCCCCAGTGTCTGATGGCTAATAGTACCAGTTCTATGTTGATTAACAAGTCTTTTGGCGTGTCTGGTGTGCGTCTCGTTTTTTGCTGTGCCGATCTTAATTCCCAAGTCTGCCATTCTGGCGAGTGATGTGGATTCACTGCCATCAAAGTCCTCTATTCTTCCCATTTCTCTGAGGGCATTGATAATATCAGCATGATCCATAGGCTGACCGTCGGTAGTGATAGCGGATCCAGCCAACCTGTCAGCTCTTTCATTCCCATCGACGCCTGCGTGTCCCGGAACAAAAATAAAGGTGACTCCACGCACAGTGGACTTCTGTAATGATTCAAGCCATTGTCTTCGCACTGAACCTGCCTGAACCCTACGGATCATACTCATTGAATCACTGACTAAACAACTGTTGTTTGGAACCAGGTCCCTATTTGTCCATTCAGTGTGACAGGAACTACTAGCTGTTCTATACGGCGTATGAGGGTTTTACCTATATCGTACTTATTTTATACTACATAAATGAATTCCGCACACGACATGGATTAATTATTTACATTACGTGTGGAACTATGCACCAGACATTGGGTGAATTATGTACAGTACATCGGGAAACGATGCACATGAAATGGGTGAACTATGTACATTACATGAGTGAACATTGCAAACGATTGATATACTCTGTACACGACACTGGGGGACTATGGACATCCTAAGCCCTTGGTAAACCTTGTACACTGTGTGGACGAAAATATTCACAACATTTGTGAAATCTGCAAGCAGCAAAAGTCAACATTATACAAATAAAGATCTCCTTTTCGACAGGCCATCACCGACTGTAAACTCCGGCAGAAAATTATGGTTGTTTGTCCAGTTTTAGACTCTGGAGGAGGAAGAAGAAACAAGAAGAAAGAGAATTATATGAAGAGGAGGATGGGGAGGAAAAGGAAGAGGGGAATGAGGAGACGTAGATGATTCTCTTACATGCACCAGACATCGCAACTCTTTGTCCAGACATCCCTCCTGGCCATGAGTTCCGGGGGCGTGTTGACGTTGTAAGAGTCACCCTGGAGCGGTACGTGTCCCTTGATGCTCTGTATGGGGCTCATCATCCGCTGGCACACTGGACCGTAACCTGCATATAGTGTATATGAGTGCCGATCAATACATTATCGGTTTGTCTGACTCACGAAGAGAACAGTTTGTCCGCATCAGAAAGAGACAGTCTACATTCTTTGGGCATGTGTTGAGAAGGATAAAACTTGAGTACATCGTGACAGTAGAAATGCTGAAGGAGAAGAGAGGCAGAGAGAAACCCAGAGAAAAGATTCGGGACAATCTGACATCATAGTACAGACTTAGGATAATAGCTGGGCAAAAACCGAATAACAGAACACTGCTCTTTTTGGTGCATGTTAAACGTGGGGCGGCCATCTTTAAATTGTCACTAGTAGGAAAGCTGAAGGGGAGGAGAGGCAGAGAGAAACCAAGAGAAAAGATTCGGGACAATCTAACATCATAGTACAGACTTAGGATAATCGCTGGGCAAAAACCGAAAAACAGAACACTGCTCTTTTTGGTGCATGTTAAACGTGGGGCGGCCATCTTTAAACTGTTCTTTCGTCTGCTCCGTGATGTTACGTGCTTAACGCTCCTGACAGCAATGTTGACAGGTTACAAGACAAAGGACTGGTTATTGTTATTTGTATTATACTGATAAGTTTTTTTTTTCCTTTTTTGAAGTCCCCCCCCCCCCCCCCCCCCAACCCCTAATATAATCAAATTGAAGCTAAAGTATCTTCTTTTATTCTCCCCATCTTCCCCGTGTTTGTTGCTGTTCCTTCTACTCCTTCATTTTTCACTACTTTCTTTTCTATTTCCTCTTCCACCTTCTTCATCATCGTCCTAATTTTCTTCTTGGATTGGTTTTTTTTTTCAGGACACGATAACACAAGATGGGATTATGCCTAGGCTAATCAGAGGTCCTCCACAAGTAACCCTACACAAGTAACTAGTCCACTGTGAACAGATCCCACTCTTATATCAACTGGAATCGGAACTCTTCGCGAGCTGTTTACAATGAGGATGGGGCTACATGGAAATGTTCCAGGTGCTGTGATGTCTGTCCTTTACTGAGCTTGACTCAAGTCTAATGTCACGAACAGAGTGTTTTTATGTGCCGTTCACAGATTTTTCTGGCTAGTATTTATTTTTTTGTGATCACACACGTGTCAGAGATTCAACAAGCCAGAAAAATTTGTGATCTCTCTGGGAGATACTTTAGTCAAGTGATGGTGTGTATTCGTGTTTGGATTTATGGTACTGAATATTCATGTAATGTGTTGATCAAGGCTCTCTTTCCGCAACATTCACTTGTCGTTTGTATTTGTGATAATGTAAGTGGTCTAGTTGCTTTCAGTATGATTTGACATCTTTTCACGGTAACACATGATTGGCACCTTTCCATCTTTTCAGACGATAGTGTTTTATTGACAGCCCATAATACTGAAATAATATATACTTACAATCGATCTGATGATCTTTAAACCAGTCCTAACCTTTTATATCGTTGGCTATACACTTTAACATGTAAAAAAAAAGTTACAAAGGAAATAAAAATAACGATAAACGTACATAAAAAGGCTTACACACACACACACACACACACACACACACACACACACACACACTGTCAAAGAGGAATAGCCGTGAAGCAGGCTCATTTCATGACTGCCCCATTGGAGATTTTGGGGGAGCGTCGCCAGAGCTACGGAATTCTTGTTTTGTGTGATGCTCTGAGCAGACGGCTAGAGAGAGAGAGAGAGAGAGAGAGAGAGAGAGAGAGAGAGAGAGAGAGAGAGAGAGAGAGAGAGAGAGAGAGAGAGAGAGAGAGAGAGAAAAAGAGCCATATGAAATAAAAACTTATGCAATGATGTGGATTCGTTAGACTTGAACCTTTTATAAAATGCGAAATGATAAATACACGATGAATAATGGCCAGAAGCAGTATTCACCAACCTGCCAGTTTGACTTGCAGCATGTTACTGACCAGGATGTTGGAGCAGTTGAGGTCTCTGGAAAATTCAAGAAAAGACAAACTAGTTCCAAGTTAGTAAAGTCCAGAATGCATCAATGTCCAGCATACTTTCATCTGAACAGTTTTAATATCGTCACATTATTTGTAAATGCATTGTTTTAGTGTTTTACTTATTTCATTTTAACTTATTTTATGATTAACATTTTCATTTCTACTACTTTTTTATTCCCACTATTATCATATACTATCACTATTACTTTTACAACTATTTTGTGGGCCTTCCTTTATTTTATTTTATTTGATTCCTTCCACATCACCTTTTTAAAGTATCTCACGTGACCCCATGGTGGTCGCTGGTGGTTGGAGTACTCTTTCTTTTGTTATTATTGTGTAGTTTAGTTTATGTCGAGAAAGGCCGCGGTTCCCATTCCGTTGAGCTTTTTAGTCACAATTCACTAGATTAATTTCAAGAAAAGACATTTTGTTGACAGGTTTTCAGTGACTGTTATTTGTTTGCAAGCGCAGGCACCACTTTTATTCCACGCGGATGGACTAAGGTCATCCCCACAACCCAACCCCGGTTACGCCCTATAGGCCAACCCCTCCCTCCCTCCTTAGACACTAGTGTACGCTGTTGACGTCCAGCCCGTGCCTTTTTTTGCCCCTGCGCGTTGGAGGTATATAGGCTGACCGTCGTTTCATTTGAACGAAGTTTTTTCGCCAGGGACACTAGATGAGTATCGTTAATTTTATACATTAGAGTCCTATGTAGTCACTTCATAGTTAGAGCCTATTTGTGTATGTGTACTGTGTTGTCCTTTATGTGCTGATGAAGGCTAATCGCCGCAACGTCCTTTGTTTGTTTATTGTGATCGATTTTGTAAAGCTAACATAAACTAATTGTTGTTTCTTACCAACTTTTTCTCTTCCCTATAATTTTCTACTCCTTATACAAACTTACTGCGCTATGAGGATGCTTGGGACTCACAGCCCATGGCGATGTCGAGTGTGACTAGCAAGACCCGCCATCGTTAAGAAAAGTCTTCCATAATTAGAGCATGAGATTTCAGGACCGTTGTTGCAATGGCATGTATTTGGCTTGCTTGTTCTTAGACACTCAGCTCTCAGCCCCTTTTTGCAGTTTTTTCCCCTTTCTGTATTCCCTCCCCGAATTCCCCCCATTCAAGCAAGAAAAGAAATTATTAGAATGCAAATTCAAATGGTCTTGGTGATACTAGTGTTTTATTGATTAATTCGCAATTACGTTGGTCTGAGTTTTCTCATCTGCGCATCTAATAACCTAACACATCTGGAGCTGCTTGGTCTCGGGGCATGGCGTCCGCCTCGAGTGCTGGGGTCCCAAGTTCAGGCCCCGGTGATGCTGGGATTCCAATAATTTCCCCCTGGTTTCTGGGTAGTAAGATCGAACTCCCGTGTGTATTGCAGCGCACGTAACAAAAATAATCTTGGCAGTTAGAAATCAAAAAGAGTTGCCTAATGGGTAAAATTTAAAGTTAATCATCTACCCAAAGTTTATTAGGATCCTCGCCGGTGCAACGGAGTTTGTGCTACCTTTCCATCTTCAGCAGCATCAATCAATAACATCACCATCAATATCATCATCGACATCATTACCATCGACATATCAACATCACCACCGACATCATCATCGACATTATCAACATCCCCATCGACATCATTACCATCGACATTATTACCATCGACATTATCAACATCACCATCGATATCATCATTGACATCATTACCATCGACATTATTTCCATCGACATTACCAACATCACCATCGATATCATCATTGACATCATTACCATCGACATTATCAACATCACTATCGATATCATCATCGACATTATTGCCATCGACATCATTACCATCGACATATCAACATCACCACCGACATCATCATCGACATTATCAACATTACCATCGACATCATCATCGACATTATCAACATTACCATCGACATCATCATCGACATTATTACCATCGACATTATCAACATCACCACCGACATCATCATCGACATCATCACCATCGACATTATCAACATAACCACTGACATCATCATCAACATTATCAACATCCCCATCGACATTTTCATCGACATCATCACCATCTATATTATCAACATCACCATCGATATCATCAGCAGGTCCTTTACAGAACTTCACCCTCATCACGGCACGCCCGAAAGTATCTCTTTGCTCTAGATCAATTTCCAGCCCCCCTGTGCTTTCATGGTAAATGTGTTTTCAATATCTTGTGTCCACGTTTGAGAAGGTCAGAATCTGCGTAGTATTCCAAAACCTTGACCTACCATCACTGCACACTCCAGGCCACCATGGCATTTAACCAAAATACCTCGGTTTTGGGGACAAAGTCTAAAACAGAACGAGAAGTAGATCAGCAAGCTTCCCATATTGGTTGGTTAGTCGCGCATCCTTTACAGGACGTTGCAGGACAAACCCCAACAGCCCCTGGCTGTTGTGTGGTTTTTCTAGGCAAATTTACGTCCAGTAGTTTGCTGTTTCTTCTGGACGGTCGGCTTTCTTGATACCACTGTCGAAACCAACGCAAGGCGCATGACTCGCAGCTGAATCCCGGCATTACGAAGCGTTCGCATCGACTTAGCCACAGAGCCGACGCTTCCCAATATAACAAACACAAACAAAATGTGAAAGTTGCTGCCATGGGGCCTTAATCAGCACATACAAAAATCAAACAATACCACACACAATCACTTAACTTAGTATCTCGAAGCAGCCAGGGACCGTAACCGTAGGGTTTCAGATAAAACTGTGTGGGCAGTTCAATTCCCAAGGATTCTAGATGAAAATGTGTAGGAAGTTCAGTCCTCTTGTGTTAACGTCCCCAAAGTAAAAATAAAGCGATTTTCAAGAGACTTGCGGATTTGTCGCTCGAGTGGCTAGATTTAATGGCTGTCATTTCCACGTCGTGGACACCTTGATGATCCTGGGAACTGAAGTGCAATGGTACTGGTTTCAAGACACCACTGTGCACATCCAAAAAATGTTGTCTGAACCTGTTAGCCAATCGTAGACCCGTTTCGCCGATGTATTAATTTTCGGGACGGGATGCTGTCTATGAGCCAATTATCCTCGTTGCCCAGATCATGCAGAATGTTGTAGGTTTCCCTTCTTCATGGTCCATCGTATTCTAAGAATGTTGTATTCAATGACTGTAAAATAAAGATAACAACTACCATGAACTTGACCACTCACCCGTGTAAGACATCGTGCTGGTGCAGGTGCCCCATGCCGGCACAGATCTGTTTGAAGATGGTCTTGCAAGCGTTCTCCGGGAGACCCTGGCAGGAGCCCGGCCCCCAGGGAGTGGACGATTGTCTGATCAGATGATCCAACGACGGCCAAGGGCAGTGCTGTGTCACGTGATACACCCAGTTGTCAGTGCAGAATCGATGTAGAAGCATTATCTGTTGATGGAATCCATTGCTACAGTCACTTCAAGAGAAGTTAAAGTACGGAGTAAAGTAACATGAAGTGAAGTAACACATAGTAAAATAATACACATAACAGAAAATAAAGACACATAAGGTAAAACAACCCCATAATAACATTAAGAAAAATTTAAACAAAAACATAGTTACAAAAAGAAAAACAGCGAAAAGAAAAAAAAACCGTAAACATAAATAATAATATGGAGTAAAGCAACACAAAGAAATGTACATATAAGTTAACTCATTTGACCGATTGGCACCTTTCTGTATTTCCAGACAATAGTGTTATATTGCGCTATGGAGAGGCATGGGACTCACAGCCCATGGCCCATGCCAAAATTTTTGTTTCATGTGTTTCTTCTCAGGCGCTCAGCTTTCGTCCTTTCTGCTATCATTTCTTCTTTCATTCTCATTCCCTTCCTGGTGTGCCCGGGCATTTATACGCAACACGGCCCATTGTATTATATTCCTACGAGTCCGCCCCAGTACCTGTATTATTCATGTACCGCTTGCACACATCTTTATATCGTTGTAGAGGTCGGCCTCGACATCTTCTAGCCGTCTTTATTTCTCTAGAGCGGAAGTAAATAATAAAAGGGAAAAGACAACGTAAAGTTTCTGCTTCTTCTTCTCCTCCTCTTTCCACTTATTCAGCGACTGTAAACTACGGTCGAAAGTTCTGGCTGTTCGTCCACTTCTCGACGTTTGTCTTGCTTCTCTACAATGAAAAATACGCTCTCACATACATAGACCAAACACAGACTTACGAGATTGGAGTGTGGTGGTAGAGCATTGACCCATGTCTGTATGTACTGGCGACCAGTCGCGGCCCCTCCCAGAGAGATGACGCTGCTAGTAAAACAGGCATAAGGCCATCTGATGGCGGTAATCTCTATCTGGAGCATTGCATTTTAACATACGCTGATTAATACAATTAGAATTGAAACCAGTTAAACAAATTCATTAAACAGAGCAAGAAACTAATGAACTAACTGTTATTTCAAAAAGTTATAGTAAACATTATCAGCAGCAGCAAAATATTCACAACAAGAACTGAAAAGGGCTTGAATGACATCTACATTACAAATCACAACTATATCCCATGTGATTTAAATTGTAAACCATTTGATTTAAATACTAAAGCTTTTGATTTAAATAGTCAAGCATTTGATGTTTTTTTTAAAAGCCCCCTGATTTAAATAATCAAGCATTTGATTTAAAAAATAAAGTACTTGATTTAAATAGTCAAGCATTTGATTTAAATAATAAAACGTTTGATTTAAACAGTAAAGCAAGGATGTCTTGGTTTTAAAGACTGAGGGTGGGTGGGACCTAGAAGTCTTGGGTCTAAAGATTGAGGGTGGGGTGGGACCTAGAAGTCTTGGGTCTAAAGATTAAGGGCGGGTGGGTCCTAGAAGTCTTGGGTCTAAAGATTGAGGGTGGGGTGGGCCTAGAAGTCTTGGGTCTAAAGATTGAGGGTGGCGTGGGCCTAGAAGTCTTGGGTCTAAAGATTGAGGGTGGGGTGGGCCTAGAAGTCTTGGGTCTAAAGATTGAGGGCGGGTGCGTCCTAGAAGTCTTGGGTCTAAAGATTGAGGGTTGGGTGGGACCTAGAAGACTTGGGTCTAAAGATTGAGGGTGGGGCGGGACCTAGAAGTTTTGGGTCTAAAGATTGAGGGTGAGTGGGTCCTGGAGGTCTTGGGTCTAAAGATTGAGAGTGGAGTGGAACCTGGAAGATTTTGGTCTAAAGATTGAGGGTGGGGCGGGTCCTGGAATGGGTCTAAAGATTGAGGGTGGGGTGGGTCCTGGAGGACTTGTGTCTAAAGATCGAGGGCGCCGTCGAGGATATTGCAGTCTCTACGAACTGCGCAGGTTCAACCTCCACCCTTTTCCACCAGTGACATAATCTTGACAAGGTTTTGAACCCGCGTCTCCTGCATGAAAGCCTAGCTTTCTAATGCTCCGTCAAAGGTTCGTCCTCCTCATCTTCTTGTTGAGATCGCGTCCTTGATTGACACCAGGAAACGAATTCTTATGGTGAAAGCAGCCATCGTTTTGGAGTTTCTTTGTTGTTCCAGATCGGCGTCTGTGGCTTAGGCGTTGCGAACGCGTTTCGTAATGCCGGGGAAACGGGTTCAATCACTGCTGCAGACGATTCTCCGCTGGTTTCGACAGCGGTACCGAGAGCTGACAGTTCAGGAGGCAATGACAAACTACTGAAGTAAAACCACAACAGCCAAAAAATGCTGGGGTTGGTTCTGCAACGTTCTGTAAATGGACGCAACTTTTGTTCTATGCAGCCTTGAGAATTGGTCGCATCTGCAGCTCCCAAAATTTGTGGTACAGAAAAGGGCTGCGTGGTCTCGGGGCATGGCGTCCGCCTCGAGTGCTGAAAGTCCCGGGATTTTTGCACGTGAACTTCTAGTTATTTCCCCTGGTCTCTGGGTAGAAAGATCGGACGTCTGTGTGTATTGTTGTGCACGTAAAAATACGTTAACAGTTGGAAATCGAAAAGAGTAGCATAACGGCACTGCCAGGGCAAAAAATTGAGTTAAAAATCTACATAAAGTATTTCATAATCCTCGCCGGTGCTACGGAGTTCGTGCACTGCACTGAGAATCTTCTTACTCAGGCTTGTCAGAAGCAGAGCAGAGCACTTATGGGTTACTACCCTTGTGCCGTGATGTTGATCTATCGTCTGAGCCTAAACCTAAACCTATATGTGGTAAAGAACTGAACAAAATAAATAACAACACACATCAGAACCTTACCGGGCTGTACAAGGGGTTATTTCTGTTGTTTGCTAGAAACAGGAGGCTGTGGACTCTAGGATTTCCTCTGGACAACCTTTGGAGGATCTCGTAGCCTTTCACCAGACAGTCTTTTTGAATTTCTTTCGTCAGATGTTCAACCAGGTGTAGCCACTTTAATTGAAACTTGGCCTGCTTCTTGTTTGAGCACGCTGGAAGTCTGAGGGCTTCAAGATAAATACGCTTTATACACTTGGATACAGTGAATAATGGGAAGTAAAAGCGGCTGGCGGGATGCTGACCCCATCACCAATCTTGTGCCGATTGGTCTATAAAAATATAGGTCTAGCCCTATATGCCCTATACACCAAAAGGCTTGGAAAAGGGTCCTTTACTTTTTACTTACAGTGAATAAACGTGGATTGGGCATGTGACTTAGAGAGTGATGAATGAGTTTGAGTTTCAGGATTTTAAAAAAAGGTGAAGGATACTTTTCCACGCCTTTAGGCGTTCGGGGCATATAGGGCTAGAGCTATAATTTATAGACAAAGCTTTTATTCTTCAATTGGAGTGTTAATCCTACAGACTAGTTATCTTCTTCTACTTAAAGTCCATGCCTTGTGGCGTTGGCAGTCATGACTATCCACAACCTTCTGTCTTGTGTACTTTCTATTAACTCTGACACGGATGATCTTCCAAACCGTGTGGCGTTGGTAGTCATGACTATCCACAACCTTCTGTCTTGTGTACTTTCTATCAACTCTGACACGGATGATCTTCCAAGCCGTGTGGCGTTGGTAGTCATGTCTGTCCACAACCTCCTGTCTCGTGTACTTTCAATCAACTGATACACATGATTCTCCATGCCGTGTGGCCTAGGTAGTCGTGTCTACCCCCAATCTTCTGTCTCGTATACTTTCAGTAAATCTAACACAAATGATCTTCCATACCATGATATCAAATTGTCCAGCATCTGTTGTCTCGGTCTCTCTCTGCCTCTCCTCCCCTCCAACTGTCCTACCATCACGATGTACTCCAGTTTTCTCCTTCTCATCACATGACCAAAGAATATAGATTGTCTCTTTCTGACGTGGACAGTCAGTTATTTTCGTGAGTCCGTTTCTTTAAGGACGTCGTCGTTACTCTTTATAAAACTAGTTATAGTTATATAGTATGTGATGCATACACATGTCGTAATTGTAACAGACTCTGAAAGCATGCTGAAAAAGGTGAAGACGGGGATGCTTCGAGCAGAATGGCTAGCTTCACTGGAAAGGTCACGGGTGGTGAGCATACTTTGGATCTTTTCTCCAGGCTATGTCGGTGTAGTGTGTATCGAGCAGGCAAACAGATTGGCTGGATCCGCACTACTGGGTGGTAAATTGATACATGACAAGGCAGATGTTGTCAATGCCCTTTGGGAACAAGCAACGGAATCAGTAGAGAAACAAGATTATTATGGCCTGGAGAGAATGAGGCACCTGGGTGTAACCAGAGGGTCTGGCCGGCTGACTACACTCAGAGGAAAGGCAAGACGGACTTTTAACCAGATTGTGACCGGTGCCATCAGTATTGGAACTCTGCCCTGGCTGCTGAAGAAGAGGACTGAGCATGCATGGAAATGCTCCGAGTGCTGTGATGTCAGTTCTTGACTTAACTCAACTCAACTCAGTTATATACTTGTAGTTAGTTAGTTGGGTTATCCTCATTGCAATCCGGGCATGTCCATGGGTGCTCAGATCCTCCCCTCAGTATGAACCCCACAGTCCGATGGCTAATAGTACCAGTTCTATGCTAATTAACAAGTCTTCTGACGTGTCTTGCGTGCGTCTCGTGTTTTTGCTATGCCGATCTTAACTCCTAAGTCTGCCATTATGGCGAGTGGTGTGGATTCACTGCCCCCCAAAGTCCTTCACCCTTCCCATTTCTCTGAGGGCATTATTAATATCAGCATGATCCATAGCTAGTGATAGCAATCCTCAAGACTGCTAACCTGGAACAGAGAATTTGCCAACTATACCCAGTTAAATGATTAGGCAGAAAGTCTTGGGGGTCCGCCTTGACTTCTTAACAGTTCTTAACACACAAATCATTACCTGGTATTTCAATTGCTTCCTCGCTGTGGTGGCTAGCGCTGGCATCAGATAAGTCTAACTGCAAATAACTAAACGTTGTGTTTGCAGAATGCTCAGCTGAAAGATCAGAACTGCCCTCTTCGTTGTATCTGCACGTGTAGGGGGGAAATACCACATCGCTTGGGGGATTGTCATTGGTTCCTGCTGACGATTCTCTTTGGCGTCTGCTTCGGACACTTCGTTGCTTTTTCCGGATTTTCTTTGGGGGTTTCAGTGTCTTGTGTCCATCTGTAGACATGTCGTGCTCTGATCTATTAGGCTGCAAGTGAGAAGATTCGGTTTCCTCATCACAGCTGGTTTCCTCCACAAGATCGGTGGCACTGCTAGAGTCCACCAGGGAGTACACTTCTCTCCACTTTCGTGATCTGAGGACATTGGCCCAGATATTCGGCCATTTTTTGGTCTCGGATTTTGAAGTGAGCTGTGGAGTAAAATGTAGTTAAAAACAACGTTTTCCTGTGGTGAATTCAAATAATGCGGACACAAACAATGCTTTGCACAATTTATTGCCAGGCATATTTCGCTTCATCTCGTCAGGTGCGTTACTACAGAGTTACATCGACAAATAATAAAGCATAAAAACAAAATGAATTCAAATCCGCAGGCGAGCGTCCAGCTCCTACACCACAGCGGCTTCTCCTAAGCTGTAGATTAACTTATATCTAAATCCGGCACTGGCGTTAGGAGGTTGAATTAGGTATCTAGAATTCCCTCGTTGGAATGATGTCTAGCTTATGACTTTTTGGGTCGTTTGGTAGTCATAAATTCATGCTGCATCCCGCAACATTAAGAGAGTGACTTTCTACCCCACCAGGACATCACACAAGCGATAAACACCCGATGACACAATGTACCACCATGTGGGTGAGGATCACCGTAGAGAGGTCCCAGAAACCGCGTTCAGCCTTTAGGCAATATTTATGGCCAGGCTATATTGCAGCCCCTGGCAAAAGCCAGAGTAGGGCTTCAATTAACGAAAAATTTAATCCTAAAAAGGATGGAAAGTAGTAGTATTAAGAGTGACGAAGGTGGACAGACACCAAGCCTTTGATGACTAGCTGCCACTTTGAGAAGAAAGAGAAGGTGAAATAAGACAAAAGACAAGCAGAAATAAGAAGAAGAAGAAGAAGGAGGAGGAGAAGACGAAGAAGAAGAAGAAGAAGAAGAAGAAGAAGAAGAAGAAGAAGAAGAAGAAGAAGAAGAAGAAGAAGAAGAAGAAGAAGAAGAAGAAGAATGAATGAATGAATGTGGAGAGGTGGGAAGAGCAGGAAAGAATGAGGAGTAGATAAGCATCAGGAAGAGTAATGTATTCGAAATGGGTTTTGCATAGTTATTTCCCTTTGCCATTTGCTTCCATGGAAAGCACTCTGTAAAGATAAAGAATAAAATAATTTAAAATTAGAAGACAGGTAGCAAATGCAGAGAGAGAGAGAGAGAGAGAGAGAGAGAGAGAGAGAGAGAGAGAGAGAGAGAGAGAGAGAGAGAGAGAGAGAGAGAGAGAGAGAGAGAGAGAGAGAGAGAGAGAGAGAGCGAGAGATTAAACAATTATCCTCTAAAGGAGATTAGGAAGAGGGGGGGGGGGCGGGGAGGGGGGCAGCTCGTGGGACTTAATGATGACTAGTCTTTAATAATGACACTAATGATAATTTAAACAATGAGCTGAATGGTAATAATATAATAATATATCTTGATTAAATTAAAGAAAACTAAAATACCAACGTTGTGTGCTGTATGGCAGGGAATCTTGGAATGTCAGTGAACAAAATAACAAAACTTTGGTAGCAACAGAGATGTGGTTTCTGATACGAATGTTACGAATACCCTGTACGTCAAGAGTAACTAGCAACGATTATTTGAAAGAAGTGAATGAAAGTAGATCTCTATATACAACAATAGGAATGAGACAAACACTGTTCTTTGGCCATCGAATGCGAAGAGAGGCATTGGAAAACATCGTGACAACTGGAAAGATCACTGGAAAGAGGGGTAGAAGCAGATCAAGAAAGATTATGCTGGATGGGCTGAAACTGTGGTATGAAAGGATTTCATCAAGACAGCTGTTCAAGGCAACTAGGGCCTACGCCAGTTGGCAAGGCACATGATGATGATGGTGATGATGATCTTACCAACGCATACAAAAGCGAACGATACTTGGTTACCGAACGCATCAATTATACCAGACAAACAAACAAATAAAAGTGAATTTTATAAAAGCTTATGAAATAGCTTGTAACAAACCCAAACTTTTAAGCATCACAGCAGTGGATGTAATACCTGCAGACGGGCATCGGGCGAATGTATTGATCTTTGCTTCCTGTGTTCGTTGGCAGGGCTATCCGTGTTTCTAAACACGTATGTTAAAGCGTCGGGTTTGACTCTGTTCCCATACCTAGCAGGGTCGTATTCCAACGACCCTTGCTTCATGTTTCTGGCCATACGTTCAGCAAGCTGTAGATTGAATCTAACCCTCTGTTTATTGGTTTTAGGATGCACATTTACAGACGGAAACATGTCCTCATCAAATCCGTTTTTAACCAGATCCATAAAGCACATATTGTATAGCTTGTCCTCTTCATGACTACCATCAAATTCATAAGTAGGTTTTGATGAAAAGTTCGTGTTTTTGTTCTCAAACTGAGATGCATTCACAAATGGTTTGTCCATTGACTTACTAAGGTAGAAAGTTATGGACTCTTGTGGGTTGTATTTGGAGTCGTCATTTATTTCTCCACTCAGGACCACGAGATCATCGAAAGACACTGTACTGACAGCATCATGACAACTCGCTTCTGTTTGCGAGTCTCTACACACAGGTGTCAGTGACACAACAGGCGGTGAGTCAGATTGTAATGCCTCTTTATCTTCAGTGTCATTAACGTTATTCGCGTTGGCATTATTTAGTGTCTTTGATTTTGATTTCTTGACTTTTGATTTCACTCTTTTCTTTTCTGACTCTTCTACCCTCAACTGCATGGCAGATTTGGGACGCCGACTTAGTGACTTTTTTACATCCTTTGATTCTTGTAGTCGTGGGGTTGACAGTATATGCACAGATGAATTCGCTTTGTTTATCTTTGTTTTGGCAACTGACAGCGATCGATGAGGTGGTTCGTGTAATTTAGAAACAGACATTGCTCTTCCAGATATTGCTGTCTGTGGCGGTTCTGGCTTACTCATGGCTGAGGTTGGTCGTTTTGTAGTTGTGGCCGATTTGGAAACTGATATTTTAGAAGCAGATATCGCTTTCTTAAATATTTTGTTTGAATCTGTGCTGACTGGTTTACTGACTGATCTCAGCAAAAGTGACCTTGGCGAAGGTAAGGCAGCAAGTTTAGGAGTGGACAGCGTGGCCAGTCTAAGACTTGGATTGGCTTTGATTTCCGATGTAGAAGCTTTCAACTTATTTGTTGATTTGCCTTTTTTCTTTGAAGACCGGCGGACATTTTCTTTGGAACAGGATTTTTTCAGGTCGTGTAAATTATCAACTGTTTTAATTGTGGTAAAGAAGTTATTTATGGTGACTGGAATTTCTGATTTCCCTTTCTTGAGAGACGCCTTCTTCCAACTTCGACGTTTAAATTTATTTTTCTTCGAAGATTTTGGCGAAGGAGTTTTACTTTGAGACGCAACTGGCAGCGAGACGGAACTCCCCGATGCTCTTCCACCTAACCGTTTAACAATATGTGTCACCACTTTCGAGTAGTGCCTATTCCTTGCATCCGGCGTTTGAACGGATGGGGTCTTTGCAACAGAAGTAAGAGGGTTAAAACTAATGGCTCTTTTGAGCTTCGAGGATAAAGAATGAACGGGATCAGTCTTTCTAAGCTTTTCCGTGTGCAGTATTTCTGAGGCTGTTGTGCCTTTTCTTGGATTTCTGCTGCTAGCTTTTGGATCTGCTGTTTTCCCTAAAAGTTGTTTACTTCGTGTAGGAGAAGGTGGTTTTGTGACAAATAATGTTCCTTCTGAAGCTTTTCTGTTGCCCCCTTTCGCAGTTATCCCTTTCACAGCTGCAGTGTTGCTAAGCTCGTACAACTTTTTAGCGTTTAAAATTGACGCATCTACATTTTGCTTCAGTTTGACGGCTTCTTGTGTTATCAGTATATCACCTTCTTCTGCAGGAAACGGGTTCAAAGAAGCTTTGGTGGTATCGACCGCTGGGATGGTGTCATTGGGTCTTGGCTGGAGGTTTGTAGCAGGCAGTACAGAACTAATGTTCAACCCCTGCTTGGAAATGTCCACTTTTGACAAGGTGTCCAAGACCGTTTTAGTGGATCTCCGTTTACCCGTTGACCGTTCGTCCATAATGCAAGGCACGGTGGCACAGTGGCAAAGATTAGGCTGAATCCATATGACAATGGCCTCTAGATGTTCAAATGCTGTGCAGCACCGTGCGCAACATATCTCCGGGTCCTGGTGTTTCTAGCGAAGCAGCCAACGAAGAAGTAAGTAAATTTACCCTACCAGAACATCGAACGGAGCGATAAACACCCGGTGACACAAAGTGCCATCATGAGGTTGAGATTCGTCCGTGCAGAGGTCACAGAAACCTTGTTCAACCGTTAGGTTATATTAGAGCCTCCTGGAACAGCAAGGGTGTGGCTTCAAAATAACGCAAAATTGCAACCTACAAATGGCGACTTTAGTTACTCTCAAACGAAGAGTTTCAACTCCGATATTCATAGTCTGCGAATCTTTTTCTGAAATTGAGAGGGGAAAATCATGTCCTCGTTAAATACAGCACACCAACCACATATCACAAATGAAAATAAAGAAATAGAAAACGTCACAGATTTCAAATACTGGGACTCTTTAGTGAACAACAGTGGAGAGTGCTTGAAAGAAGTCAAAAGAAGACTTGCATTAGCAATGCAGAGATTAAACAGCCTGAAAAGCCTATGGCAAAGCACCTGAGAGTGAATCCGTTTTTGGCACGGATTACCTGTAAAAAAAGTACATTTTGCAATTTGATGTTTTCACAAGTTCTCGTCTCTATATTATTTTAAAAATGTCTACCTGCATGTTTTAAATTGCTGCCCCCCCCCCCCCCCAACCCCCACCACATGTACCGCAAATGAGGAAAAACAAAATACATGGTGCTTTAAAAAATATATAAATATTTTTTCTACAAGGGTATTGGGGTATTACCAGGTTGCATGCCAAATTTCAAAAAGTTACACTAGGCGTTTACTATTACAGAATTTTAAAGATGGGGACGAGTTTTGAAATGTACTTTACTTCTCCCACACATTTCTCGTTGTCTTGAATCGACATCAGAACTCCGGGAAACACCCACACATGCTCTATCTCGCTCAGCCGACGTGGTCGTGCAAGAATGCTTATTTTGTCCGGGGCTTACCAACTGCGAATACGTTTACACAATGGAACCTTGAGCACGAAAATGCCATACTGAGAACCCAGTGTTTATAATTACTGGGGCGTTGCCTGTATCCGTTCAGACGGTGCAGTAATATGATAAATACCTCTTAACTCACTCACTACTGGTGGGCAACGGTAACGTAGTGGCAAGGCGCTAGCCTCGGATCTGTTGGTCGTGGGGTCAAATCGGCATTGTCGGATACTCTTCCAGAAATGACCTTGGTTCCAAGATCGACCGAGCATAAAACTGACATGGGGTGAAGTCGAGGGAGATAACGGTGGCTGGCGTTATCTTGACTATAACACCTATGAAGTGCCGACGCGTGTATAGAATATAGGTCTAGAACTTTATACCGTGGTATGGGGCGTCGCAGGTCGACCCAGCCTAAGATGGGTACCAGGATGTATGTCCTGGGGAAGTAAAGACGGCTGGCGTAATGCTGACCACATTACCCACCTAGTCCCGAATGGTCTGTAAAAATATGGGTGCTTTTCCCATATTCCCGATACGCCTAATGGCGTGAAAAGGGATCTTTACTTTACTTTTTACTATATACCGAGAAGAGCTTGGGAAACGGTTTACTATTACATGAAATAATATGAAATGTCGTACTAACATAAAAAGGCTGCAACTAACAAATGGGATTTGGGACTGTGTGGGATTGCTTGCTTGCTTGTTGTACCGCACCAGGACATCACACGAGTGATAAACACCCGGTAACACAAAGTGCCACCACTCAGATGAGGATCACCCGGGGAGTGGTCCCAGAAACCCCATTCATATCATCATCATCATCAGGTGCCTTGCCGACTGGCGTGGGCGATCATGCCTCTCCATAATCTTCGATCTCCTGCAGCATGTATCAGTTCGTGTGTCGACACACCTCCATGCCATGCAACAAGACTGTCAAGCATCTTTTCTCGCTGACTTCCTCTATCTCTCCTTCCACATATCTTTCCAGTGGTCACAAAATGTTATATTTTCCCTCTTCTCATAACATGGCCGAAAAAGGATGCCTGTCTCCTTCTGATGTCTGTGATAAGTTGTCTTCGGGCTCCCGCCTCTTTCAAAATCTCTTGGTTGCTCTTTTTGGCTGTCCAAGGTATTCTAAGCATTCTTCTGTAAAACCACATCTCCGAGGCCTAAAGAAATTGTTTGGCCTGCCTACCGATTGTCCAGGATTCACAGCCATATGTTAAAACTGGATGTATGTAGCAAGCAAGAATTCTTTTTCTAACTCTCAATGACAAGGATATATTGCACAAGATGTTTTTCATTGTATGAAATGCAGTTTTGTCTGTCCTATTCTGTTTCTTATCTCTCAGTTATGCATCTTCCATCTGATGTTATCCATGTGCCCAGATACTTAAATTTCTGTACTTGTCCTAAAATAACACCACCAGCTTTTATTACACATTTAGGAATAATTCGTTTCCTTGATACCACCATTACTTCTGTCTTCCCATTATTCAAGCTGAGGCCAATTCTTCCACTTTCTAACACCACAATGTCTATCATTTCCTGTAGTTCTTTCTGACTTGTTGCTATCAAGACTGTGTCATCAGCGTAACGTAAATTGTTTATATTGTGCCCACCAACCACAATTCCGGGCATACCAATTAAAGCTCTCATTATATATTCACTGTATATTGAAAACAAATCAGGTGACAGTACACATCCTTGTCGTACGCCCCTCTTTAAGCTTTGAAATGTACCTAAACAGTTGTTAATTCTTATAGCTGCTGTTTGCTGCCAATACATATTCTTTATTATTCGTAGATCTTTCCCATCAATGTTTAATTTTTCTAACAGTTTGATTGCTTCTTCATGCTTCACACAGTCAAATGCTTTTGTATAGTCTATGAAGCATATGTACAAATCAGTCTTTTCTTCTATAGCTCTTTCTGACAATGTCCTTAGGATGTATATGGCATTGTTTGTACCTTTTCCTTCTACAAATCCACTTTGTTCATCGCTGATTTCTGGTTTAATTTTGTTTCTTACTCTTCTCATAATTATTCTCAGTAAAATCTGAGTCATGTGACTCATAAGACTTATTGTGCGATGGTCTTCACATTTTATAGTGCCTGGTTTCTTAGGCGGAGCTATAAATATGAATTTTAAAAGGTCATTTGGAATATACCCACTATTATAAATATCATTTAAAAGTTTAGTTATTATTTCAATTCCAAAATCTCCCAGTGCTTCGATATATTCTAGTTAGATGTTGTCTGGCCCGGGTGCTTTTCCTTTCTTCATATGATGTATTGCATCCTCAACTTCTGCAGTCATAATTCCCATTCATGTAAATACATGAAAAGGGACAAAGGCAAGAGTGGAGCTTCAAATAACGAAAAATTGCACCCCACATGGGGACAACAGCGATATATTTGTTATTAACGGTGTGGTTAATGGTCGTTTACTTTTACTTGAAAGCATATGAAATGGATCGCAAGAGACAATTTTATATTTCTGTTGAGTTTATTCCTGTTTATGCTTCATTATGTACTGATGTAACTGCAGTAACTCACCTGACGAGATGCAGCGAAACCTGTCCGGCAATAAATTGTGCAATGAATTGTTTATGTCTGTGTTATCTAAAATCACAACTTGTTAGTGAATTGAAATATGACAAGCTAGATATTGTGAGGGGAATGAAGAGAGACAAGTACGAAATTCATAATCTGTTTAAATCACCATTGATAACTGGCATCATGAGAGCTAACAGACTGAAATAGTTAGGGCATATTGAAAAAAGATGTCAGATAACAGAGAAGTGAAAACTGTATACACATCATCATCATCGTAAACCACTTCTGTCGTTAAGCGACGTGGGGAGGAATAATTTGCGTTCCAGTGCACGTTGGCTGCCACTGGCTTTTGTCATGCCGTGAAGGCGTAGAGTGTCTTTAATGTTGTCGATCCATATTTTCCGCGGTCGTCCTCTTGCTCTTGTAGTTGGTCTTCTGAGGTATAGTGCTTGTGATAGTATTTGATCTTGCTGCATTCTAACGAGATGGCCAAACCACTTGAACTGCTGTTTCTCGATGAATCTAGTACAAAGTGTCGTTCCCACAATTTGCCTGACAGTTTCATTATTCACTCGATCTCGTATGCTTAGGTTGACTGCTTTTCTTAGGCACCTTATCTCGCAGGTGGTAATTTTGCGTATATGGGCTTTAGATAGTGTCCATGTTTAGCACTGGTAGCTTAATGTTGGAATAAATATACTATTAATAATTTGTCTTTTTGCACTCATAGTTATGCTTGGATGTCTTAATAATGGTGACAATTGGTATATAAGTGCACTTGCTTTCTGACATCTGATTTCTATTTCTCTGTCAATTCTACCATCTTCTGTGATCATACTTACATAATTATTGAGGGTAGCTGGGGGGGGGGGGGGGGTTGACCTCGGCCCCATCCCCTTCCAAAAATAAACAAGGGGATCAAGGGTTCTGATCCCCTGTTTCGGCACCTATGATGGCGAGTTTGATTAGCCAGAACAGCTATCGTTAACATTTCCAGTACCGGCCTGCAAAGTTACTTTGACTCTTTTTGTCTTGAGAAAATATTGGACAGCATGGTAAAACCTAACAATAATAATTAAAAAAAAAAAAAAAATAGAAATGAGACTCCGTGAAAATGAATCAGAAAATCGCAACGGGTAGCAACGCTCTGATTGGTTAGAAGGCATTGGGGAATGCAATTAGACTCAATCGCCTTGATTTTTACACCTGGTCATACCAAAGTAAAAAAAAAAAAAATGCAGTAAGCGAGCGGACTAGCTGGCAAGTAATGCATCAACGCATTATGGAAGAAGAATAGACAGAGCAGATATCATCAACTCTGTACGGACTAGGTTAGTGGATAATGACGAATCTCTAATTGTAATATGATTGCGGGTTCTTTCGTAATATCCTACCCCAGATGACGTTACAGGACAGTCCAACATGTTAGAGGGTGTTAAGACTGGGTTTCC